ATCCCTCGCTGGGGAGAGCTGTCTAGGGCGGGGGTTGCTATCTTTGATCTTGATTATGATGCTATTCTTGCTGCCATGTATGCTGTGTCTGATGGTGTTGAGGGTGACTGTTACCTGTGTGTTCCGCCTGACCCGGGCATTGAGGCTGCTGCTCTAGGTGCTGGTGAGGCTGCTGCTCTAGGTGCTAGTGCGTCTGGTGCCCCTAGTGCTGGTGAGTCTGCCCTCTCAGGTACTACGTCGGCTCAGGCCTTACACACCTTCACCCTTGACTCGGGTGCTTCCCGCTCCTTCTTTCGAGACCGCACCACGCTTACGCCGCTTAGTCGGCCGGTTGCGGTCTCCCTGGCGGACCCCTCTGGGCGTCCTGTCCTTGCTAGCTTCTCCACTGTCTTACCGTGCCCGGCAGCCCCCTCTGGCACCCTGTCAGGTCTCTACCTCCCCTCGTTCTCTACAAACTTGGTGAGTGGAGCTGATCTACAGGATAGGGGGGTTGACCAGTTCACTCCTGCGAGTCAGCGGGTGACCCACTGCACGTGTGCTCGGACAGGCCGACACTTGGCCACGTTCACCCGTCGGCCGGGGTCGAGCCTGTACACACTTACTACCGAGTCTCCTCCGGCTGCTGAGTCTGGTCAGGTAGCTGCATCGGGTCAGGTGTTTGCTGCAGCGTCCAGGTCTGGTCCTGAGTCTGCTCCCTGTTCGTGTCGTCTCCTGTCCCACCAGACTCTCCTTTGGCACCACCGCCTTGGTCACCCCTCCCTGCCTCGTCTCCGAGGCATGGCCTCGCGTGTCCTTGTCTCTGGTCTCCCTCGGTCTCTCCCTCCCCTACCTCCGGGGCCTGCCCCTACCTGCGTCCCCTGTGTCGAGGGGCGACAGCGCGCCGCCCGTCACTCCTCCGAGTTTCCTCCGACAGAGGCTCCGCTGCAGACTCTTCACATGGACGTGTGGGGCCCCGCCCGCGTCCGTGGCCAGGGTCACGAGCGTTACTTCCTGTTGGTGGTTGACGACTACTCGCGTTACACCACGGTCTTCCCCTTGCGCAGCAAGGGTGACGTCACTGAGGTGTTGATCGACTGGATCTGCGCAGCTCGTCTCCAGCTCAGAGAGAGTTTCGGCTCGGACTTTCCTGTTCTGCGTCTGCACTCTCACAGAGGCGGGGAGTTTTCCTCTGCCCGTCTGGGAGCCTTCTGTCGAGCACAGGGCATCCGCCAGACCTTCACGCTTTTCGCCTCTCCACAGCAAAATGGGATTGCTGAGCGCCGCATTGGCATGGTCATGGACGTCGCTCGTACGTCCATGATCCATGCGGCTGCCCCCCATTTTCTATGGCCGTTTGCGGTTCAGTACGCAGCGCATCAGCTCAACCTTCAGCCTCGGGTCTCCTTGCCAGAGACCTCCCCCACCTTGCGGTGGACGGGGAAGGTTGGCAATGCGTCTGCGTTTCGGGTCTGGGGATCTCGGGCGTTTATCCGCGACTTGTCTGCGGACAAGCTGTCCCCCCGTGCTGTTCCCTGCATCTTCCTTGGCTTCCCCACTGACGCGCCTGGTTGGCAATTTTACCACCCCACCTCGCGCCGTGTTCTGTCCTCCCAGGACGTCACCTTTGACGAGTCGGTGCCTTGCTACCGTCTCTTCCCCTACCGCACTGCGCCCCTCCCCCCGCCGCCGCTCTTCCTTGCGCCAGGTCCTCCCCCGGTAGACCCCCTCCCCCCTCAGGGTCCTGCCCCGTCAGGTGTGTCCCAGGAAGACGCAGTCGAGCCTGTCGAGGTAGCTGTTGACTTTGGTACTGCTAGAGGTGCTGAGCCTGCGGGTGCCGGGTTTGGAGGTGCTGAGCCTGAGGGTGCGGAGCCTGGGGGTGCTCAGTCCAGGGGTGCGGAGCCTGGGGGTGCTGCGTCTTGGGGTGCTGAGCCTGGGGGTGCTGAGCCTAGGGGTGCGGAGCCTGGGGGTGCTGAGCCTGGGGGTGCTGAGTCTGGGGGTGCTGAGCCTGGGGGTGCTGAGCCTGGGGGTGCAGAGCGTGGGGGTGCTGGGTCTACACGTGTGGCCTCTCGCGGTGCTTCTTCAAGGCGGGAGCCACTCTCTCGGCAGGAGGTGCGCGAGTGGTTTGCCCGGCGCTGGAGCCGTGCTGCTGGAGCTGGAGGTGCTACTGTTGCTGCTGGTCCCGGAGGTGCTCGTACTGGCGGTTCTGGAGCTGCTGGGACTGGGGGTGCTGCTGGGGCTGCTGGAGTTGGTGCTGCTGGAGCAGCTGGAGCTGGAGCTGCTGGGGGTGTTAGCGCTGGTGGTCCTGCTGGCGCTGGTACGTCTGAGGGTGTTGGAGTTGGCGGTGTTGGAGCTGGAGGTGCTGCTGGCGCTGGTGCTGCCGCTGGGGGTACTGGTGCCGTCCCTGCTGGTTCTGGAGGCGCTGCACGGCCGAGGCCGTACTTCGTTCCGCTCCTTGAGCAGGTTCTTGGTCTCCCGCCTTCTACTGGTCCTGCTCCTCCCTTAGAGTGCCCACAGCCTGTCCAGTCGCAATCACAGTTACAGCCCGCCTCCCCCCTGCCTGCTCCTTCTTCCTACACTGGTCCTACTGGAGGTCTTGCTGAGCGTCGTGAGCCTGCGTCTCGTCCTGTGTCGCCTGTTCGTGCTGCTCGCACTAGTCGTCGTGCTCCGCGTCCGCGTCCTCCTGCGGTCCCAGGCACACACCAGATGGCACTGCGTCCTTCCACTGCTCCTCTGCGTGTCCCGTTGCCGTCTCCTCCAGAGTCCTCTCTTCCTGTTCTTGCTGACCCGGAGTCTGACTCTCTTCATGCTGCCGGTCCTACTATCACGCGTCTCTTGGCTACTGTTGTCACTGACCCTTCCTTTGAGTCCACTGCTGCGTCGGCCCTAGTCGCTGAGCTTGTCGACTTTGCTGCTCGCTGTCGTCTAGACTACGCTGCTAGTCTTGTTGCTGAGTCTGAGTCTGTCTGTCCTCCGTCCGTCGGGGGTGAGTGTGCTCTTAGCACGGACGTCCTTGAGGACAGGCATGAGGAGTTCCAGTGTTTTGCTGCCGCTTTGCCTCGTCTCGTGTCCACGATGATTGCCCCTGAGGGAGACCCGGATGCACCAGACATCCCGACTCCTCGATCGTACGCTGAGGCAATCGAGGGTCCCTACTCCTCTCAGTGGCAGTCAGCCATGGACGCAAAGATGGCTTCCTGGAAGTCCACAGGCACCTACGTCGACGAGGTTCCCCCACCTGGGGCGAACATCGTCAGTGGCATGTGGATTTTCAGGGTGAAGCGGCTGCCGGGTTCTCCGCCTGTCTTCAAGGCGCGTTACGTGGCTCGAGGCTTCAGTCAGCGGCAGGGAGTTGACTACTTTCAGACCTTCTCTCCCACCCCGAAGATGACCACTCTTTGGGTGCTGCTGCACATAGCCGCTCAACGCGACTACGAGCTTCACTCTCTTGACTTCAGCACAGCTTTCCTGCAGGGCAGCCTGCACGAGGAGATCTGGCTGCGCCGCCCACCTGGCTTCACTGGGTCGTTTCCTCCTGGTACCCAGTGGAGCCTCCGGCGGCCAGTCTACGGTCTCCGACAGGCGCCCCGTGAGTGGCATGACACACTGAGGAATACACTTGCGGCTCTTGGGTTTGCTCCTTCTACTGCCGACCCGTCGCTGTTTCTACGCACTGACACCACTTTGCCGCCGCTCTACATCCTCGTATACGTCGACGACTTGGTCTTTGCCATTGCTGACACTGCTGGACTTGCCCACGTGAAATCCGAGCTGTAGAAGAGACACACGTGCACAGACCTGGGTGAACTGCGCAGCTACCTTGGCTTGCAGATCACCCGGGACAGAGCACAGCGCACCATTACCTTGACTCAGTCACACATGGTGCAGCAGGCCCTTTAGCGCTTCGACTTCACGTACTCCTCGCCTCAGGCCACTCCTCTGTCTACTCGCCACTCGCTCTCAGCTCTGCCTTCGGATGACTCCGTAGAGCCGAGTGGCCCGTACCCAGAGCTTGTTGGCTGCCTCATGTACCTGATGACCTGCACACGACCTGACCTTGCATACCCTCTCAACATCTTGGCACGCTATGTTGCTCCTGGGAGACACCAACCAGAGCACATGGCTGCAGCCAAGAGGGTGTTGTGCTACTTGTGCAGTACGTCGGGCATGGGGCTAATGCTTGGAGAGCGACGTCGAGTGGTCCTTACAGGTCACGCTGATGCTTCTTGGGCTGACGACCAGGCTACGCAGCGGTCGTCACAGGGTTACACCTTCAGCCTTGGCTCCGGCTCTGTTTCGTGGCGGTCTACCCGCTCGTCTTCTGTTCTCACCTCCAGCTGTGAGGCTGAGATCTACGCGGGGGCCATGGCTGCACAGGAGCTACGCTGGCTCACCTACCTGCTGACTGACCTAGGAGAGGCGCCTCGTTCTCCTCCAGTTCTGTACGTAGACAACAAGGCCATGCTGGCCTTGTGTCGGGAGCACAGACTGGAGCACAGAACGAAGCACATTGCTCTCCGCTACTTCCTTGCTCGTGAGCTGCAGCAGCGTGGTCAGCTGCGCCTTGCTTACGTGGCCTCTGAGGCCAACACTTCCGATATCTTTACCAAGGCACTTCCGCCTGGTGATCATCAGCACTTCTGTACTATGCTAGGTCTTGTGCCTACTTGGCCTCACTTGCTCACTTCTTGACCTTGCTTGTACTGTGATCTTTCTATACCTGCACTTGCTTGTTTACCTTTATATATTATCTTGCATGTGAACTGGCCTTGTGGCCTTGCTCTTGTGCTCGGATTGTGTGGTGACGTTGTGATCCACCCTGAGCTTGCTTTGTTTTGCTTGACTGGTCTTGTGACCTCTTGTTCTCCCCCACTTTGCCTATGGGGGTGTGTCAAACTTATATCATATAGCTTGTCTAGGCTATAGTGGGGTAGACACTATGGGGTACAGTTTCCTCGGGTTTCCTACTTGTACCCAACCTTGTGCTAGTTCATTCATTCCTCATTCTTCACAGACTAGTATCATCAAACCCTATATTCATCACGACTGGATGCATGGCAGACCTGCATAGACACGAACCACAAACTCTGATGCACGGTGGGGAACAAAGAATGCACGGAGGCAGAAAATGAGCAAGGGAGACACAGAGGAAGGGCGGATGAGATGATGGGCGGATGAGATGATGGGGGGATGAGATGATGGGCGGATGAGATGATGGGGCGATGAGATGATGGGGGGATGAGATGATGGGGGGATGAGATGATGGGGGGATGAGATGATGGGCGGATGAGATGATGGGCGGATGAGATGATGGGGGGATGAGAAGATGGGGGGATGAGATGATGGGGGGATGAGATGATGGGCGGATGAGATGATGGGGGGATGAGATGATGGGCGGATGAGATGATGGAGGGATGTGATGATGGGGGGATGAGATGATGGGGGGATGAGATGATGGGGGGATGAGATGATGGGGGGATGAGATGATGGGCGGATGAGATGATGGGGGGATGAGATGATGGGGGGATGAGATGATGGGGGGATGAGATGATGGGGGGATGAGATGATGGGGGGATGAGATGATGGGCGGATGCGATGAAGGGAGGACGGGAGGAAGGGAGGACGGGAGGAAGGGAGGACGGGCAACAGAGAGGGTAAAGAGGGTAGTGAGGCAAAGAGATGGAGGAAGGGAGGAAGGGAGAGGGAGAGGAGGACGGCTGAGGGGGAACGACGGAACGGAGTAAGGGAGGAGGGCAAGAGGTAAAAGTGTGGCAGGGTATAAGGGGGATAGGAGGATCCCTGCACCCTCTCTCCCTCATCCCCGCCTCCCCCGCTCCCCTAACCCGCCCCCTGCAGCACTGCACTCCTTGCTGCCCGCCTGCGCGCGCTGCTCTGGCTGTGCCCCCAACACTCTGCTCCAAAGCCTCATCACCACCTGCCATGCGTGCGGGGTTGGTGCGAGAGAGGAGAGGAGGTCAGTGCAAGAGAGAAAAGGGTGGGTGCTGCTGACCACGCACCCTTCCACACCCCACAGCGAACGAGTCACGACCCCTTTCCCAGCTCCCAGCCCAGCCCGCCATACCTCCCCGCCCAGGGTGGGTGAGAGGCTGATGGGGAGGGAGAATGAGAAGAAGGAAATAAGGGTGCAAGGGTGGGGTGGTCACCATGGGCGATGGTAGGAGTAGAGAAGGTGGTAATAGGGGAGGAGTACAACGATTACCCTAAATGCGATGGGAAGGGATGAGAGGGTGGAGACGCGATGGTGAAGAGGGGGAACGTGATAGGCAGGGGAGTGATGACGACGTGGAGAGAGGTGGGAGAGAAGGGAGGTCGACGGTGGGAGGAAGAGGACGACGGTGGGAGGAAGCGTGGCTGATGAGAGGGGAAGCGTGGGAGAAGGTTGGGGGAAGCGTGAGCGACGATGGGTGGGAGCGTAAGCGACAGTGGGGGAAAGCGAGGGCGACGGTGAAGGTGGTGACGGGAGGGGGAGCATGGGCAACGACGGAATGAAGTGTGAGCGACAGCAGGAGGAAGCGTAGGCGACGGTGGGGCGAAGCGTGGGGGACGCGGAAAACTGTCAGAATGTTATCTTATGCTCTAGCCTGTAGTGGGGTGCTCTATAGCGAGTACAACCCTTCTAGGGTTTGCTATTTGTATCCCCATTCTTGCTAGTGCAACCCCTCTTCTCTCTTCTAAACTTTCACATGGTATCAGAGCAGGTCGATCCCCTTGGATCGATCCTGTGGGTGGGTTACCACCTCCTCGCTTCCGCTGCAACTACCTTTCACTACTCTCTGAGCCGCACGCCCCCTGGCGTGCGGCACTTTTTCTTCCCGCCGTGCGCCCCGAGGCGCGCGGCGGTTTTCTGCCCGCCGTGCGCCCCGAGGCGCGCGGCGGTTTTCTGCCCGCCGTGCGCCCCGAGGCGCGCGGCGGTTCTCTGCCCGCTGTGCGCCCCGAGGCGCGCGGCGGGCTTCTGCCCCGTCGTTCGCCGCGTCGCCTTCTGGAGGCGCCGCGACGGGCGACGGGGACCCGTCGCGGCGCACCGAGGGCACGCGCCTCGGCCCCGTCGCCGTACCTGCGCCCCGGCCCTGGCCCCTACCTGCGCCCCGGCCCCATCGCCCTACCTGCGCCCCGGCCCCGGCCCCGCCTGCGGCCCCTTTTCCCGTCGCCTGTCGAGGCGACCCTCGGGGGCGGGCGAGCGCCGCCCCTTCTGCTGCCTGTCTTGGCGCCCTGGGAGGCCGCGCGTCGGTCCCCCCCCCCCCCCCCCCCCCCCCCCTCCTCCCCCGTAACCTCCCTACCCGCCATCCCGCCCTGCCTGTGTTAGGGTTTGGGGAGTGGCGAGTAGGGGGTGGCGAGTATGGGGGTGGCACTTCTGCATTCCTCCCTTTGCTCCTCCTCCTCCTTTGTCTCCCACTGCTGCAGCTGTCGCTGAGGGGGGTGGATGTGTGGGAGACTGGGGTTTAGGGTTTAAGGGGGGTGCGTGGGAGTGGAGCTAGCGGTGTAGCAGCGGGTGTGTGCCAGGGGGAGTGGGATAGTTTGGGGAAGCTGTATGGAGGTTGCCGTCGTGTCGCCAGCAGCACCTGTATTCCGGGGACTTCGTCCGGTAGCCCAGTCGTAGCCAGCTGTGCCAGCCGCCCGTGGGTCTGTTGCTCGTCTGCCGCTACTTTAGCCGCGGGGCCTGTTACTCCTGTATTCCGGGGACTTCGTCCGGTAGCCGCTGTGCCAGTCTGCCTCCTGTTGCCAGTATGTCTGCAGCTTCAGCCGACGCCTCCTATCTCCTCTCCTCTCACTCTCTCTCCTCCTCCTCGCTTGCCCGTTGTGACTACCACTAGCTTTGCTCATAATTGTACCCTTTAAACTATTGCTTCTTGAACTTGTGCTCAGAATGTGTGGTGACATTGTGATCCACCCTGAGCTTGTACTGCTTTGCTTGCTCTGCTTATTACACCCCACTTTGGCTATGGGGGTGTGTCAGAATGTTATCTTATGCTCTAGCCTGTAGTGGGGTGCTCTATAGCGAGTACAACCCTTCTAGGGTTTGCTATTTGTATCCCCTCTTCTCTCTTCTAAACTTTCACAAAAACGATAGACAACATGGGAGGAGAGCGATCGGAGACGTAAAAGTAGCGACATCGGGCATGGCGACGTCGACGAGAGGAAGCGTGGGTGACGGGACGTGACGTCGACGAAGAAGCGCGGGAGTGGGCATAAAGCTGAGGCAAACATAGGGCGAATGCGCAGGAAATGACAGCGATCGCAAGTACGATTCTTATCGACCTCGGAGAGGGAGATGCATGCGCCGCAAACTGGCGTTTGCGCGGTCGCGCAGGGTTTCGACGACGACGCTGAGTAATAAGCGGGCCCATCGCAACACTCTGATCATCATACAGAATTGGTTTCTCCGTCTTATTTTTTTGTGGAGTGGCCTCCGGCTTTATTGGCTCCTCTGTTCTACCTAAGAGTGTGTGCGTGCGTAAATGTCTTAGCTTGACCTGAATTACAACTATTTTCAAACTGTCAACAGCCCAGCTCTATTCCCTTGGGGAGAGAGCGGTTGGGACTCTCGCCAACCAGACATGTGCTGCTCTACGACTCCCTGCTTTTTTGCGTGGTGTTTTTTGGTAACCAGAGAGGCTCGGGAAGTCAAATGTGGGCTCGGGAGGCAAACTGTGCACAGTTTGCCTTCTTTTTTTTTTGTAATTCAGGTCCTGGGCTTTAAGGGTGCTACCGATCAAGCACCATGTGTGAATGTACCAGGTGAATACGCGTCCACTTCATCAGTCGTTAGGGGGGTCCAGCTCGTGCATTTACTGTTCGTAAACCCCCTCAGTTACCACATTTTTGTGGTAACCCTTTATTGAATGTGTCCAGCGGACACAATCAGCTTCTGTTCGCAAGACGGCACGCCCCATGCACGTACCTAGAGTCGTCTGACTCACGTTAATGGAATCAGCAGGGACGCGGACAAGGGTACAGCACCGCGTCCTGGCCACTACAGTTCGTTTCCCTTGTATCGCTTGCACGATTTCGTCAGTGGTTCGCTCTACTCGCCAGCGCCCCCTGCGCCTGCACAAAAATTTTCAAGCTATGATTGACGAGGAAAACTGTTACCTCGTTTTCAACGTGGTCAGAGCACTGTTGATTCGTGTGGCGGGGAATGTGTCCGCGCTTCTGAAATTACAGGATGGTTGGACTCCACTCACAATGCATTCGTTTCTAGGTACGGTAGTTATTTTTGAACCTCGATACGTGCGTTGGCACGAAAAATCCCGAAATGAACGAACTGGACACGCCCTTACGTTACATCCGTAAACTAACAACTCAACTGAACTTCAGCTGCTACAAGAACATGGGTGTCAACTTACGCTGTACAGTCCACTGCGTGTAATCTTTATATGTGCGCGTTGGACAGCATTTGAACGCAACGCGTAAATCCTCCACAACAGTGATCCGTAAATTTCCTTACCTACTGTGCTTCGCTCCAGCCTCAGTTTCTAGGTAGTGACAGATTCTAGGTGAGGTCGGTGGTGTATCACTGTGTAATACCGTATTGAAGCTCTGCCCTATGTAATCACCGCATCTACGCTTTTCCTGCTACTAGTTCACGGGTTTCTCGGTTTTCCTTATCGTTTTATTTCCGTAATAACCGCTTAGCTGCCTAGACGTGACGCATACGCGTGTCGACGCTTCTCGGTGAGCCGGTAGAGACACTCGTCATTCGCTTCTCGCTTCTATGTGAGACTTTCCGTCACTCGTCGCCCCGCTCGGCGGTTGTTGTTTTTTTCAGTTGTTGGAGATTATCGGAATTTGGCGACTTGAATAGGCGAAATCTTTTCGTTCAACTTAGTTACACCATGTCGTGGGCTGGAGGCACGGACTCGCAGTCCCTCGCGTTTCTCTGCGCGAGCATGAACGATCCGATGGCTGCCCTAGCGGCGCTCGATCAACAACACAATCAGCAGCAGCAGCAGCAGCAGCAGCAGCAGCAGCAGCAGCAGCAGCACCAACAACAACAGCAGCAGCAGCAGCAGCAGCAGCAGCAGCAGCAGCAGCAGCAGCAGCAGCAGCAGCAGCAGCAGCAGCAGCAGCAGCAGCAGCAGCAGCAGCAGCAGCAGCAGCAGCAGCAGCAGCAGCAGCAGCAGCAGCAGCAGCAGCAGCAGCAGCAGCAGCAGCAGCAGCAGCAGCACCAACAACAACAGCAGCAGCAGCAGCAGCAACGCGCGGCGTCCTTTGCGGGAGGAAACCGTCGATCTTTGTCGGGTTCGCCTGTAGAAGCTATTGCCACGTCAGCAGCACCTGATGTACATAATTCTTTAGGGTTAGGAGCCGCCGGTTCGGGCTCTAGTCGGTCCGTCCGTGTTGATCTTCTCCAGTCGAATGGATTAGGTTTGGTGCTGAACCTGGCTGCAGGTTTGGGGCCGAGCCTAATGGCTGGCGCGGCAGGTGCCTGTGTCAACGATTTGTTGGGCATGGACGACGCGAGTCTAGCTGCAGCGGTAGCTTCGGGGAAGATTCCACTCAGGAGCAGCGGAAATCCCGTTGCGAGCACCAATGCTGCTGGCACCGCGGCGGCGGCGGCTACAGCCGCTACAGCCGCGATGCGGAGCGCGCTTGCTAGCAGCGCTACTGCGCGTCGTAGCGGGCTCGGGGGAGGGGCAGGGGGAGCTCTGTCGGGCGCGCGGGGAGGAATGGGCGCAGTCGCGCTGCTGAACGGGGACGGGGGAAGGTTCGATGTCGGAGGGGCGCAACAGCAGGCGGAGTTTCTCCTGGCTGGGGGGGCGGCGGCGCAGCAGGCGGATTTCCGCATGGGCGGGGGGGCGGCGCAGCAGCAGCAGCAGCAGGCGGAGTTTCTGATGGGCGGAAGGGCGGCTGCGCAGCAGCAGGGGGATTTCCGAATGGGCGGGGGCGCAGCGGCGCAGCAGCAGGCGGACTTTCTCCTGCTGCAAGAGCTGGCGGGACAGCAGGCGGCATTGCTGGGGGGACCGCAACTAGCGGGGGGATTCCCCGGAGGTACGCGCGCGTGAGAGTGACAAGTAGCTTTTGTGTGAAGGAGGTACGCGCTCTCTTTGAGGGCGCCTTTCAGGTTCGGGTCATGCACTGTTTGGGTCATCCGAGATTCTTGGAAGACCAATCAGGCGCATTTTAGTTACACTACTCGAATACCATTGGTCCTCCCATGACCCAAAGTGTACTGATGACCCAAACAGTGCCTAATGACCCGAACCTGAAAGACGCCCTGAGTGAGAGTCTTTGAAGTGCCTAAGAGTCTTCTCAGGCAGTACGCATGAGAGCGAATTGGAGCTTCCGTGTGGGGCAATTTCGAAGCGCCTATGTTTTTTCCCAAGATGTACGTGAGAGTAGATCCTAGCTACTGTATGGAGTGGTTCTCTAAGCGCCTGTACCATTTACCAGGAGGTACGTGAGAGTAATTCGCAGATTTTTAAAAGAACGAATGTGAGGCTCAGGCGATTTTCTAAGCGTGTTTGGAATGTAGCGGGTTTCCGTGTTGGTGGTTTCATTTGCCAGCTAGGTGCCCCTTATTTTGGATACACAGACGTCGCACCCCTTCCCACCTCCCTCTTCTCCTCCCCCGCCTCCTCTCCACGCACCCCTCCCCACCTCCCTCTTCTCCTCCCCCGCCTCCTCTCCACGCACCCCTCCCCACCTCCCTCCTCTCCTCTTCCGCCGGCCTTCAGTCGACATCTCCGCGTTTTACGGCGGGGGCGGGGAGGCGGCGCGCGCGTCGATGGCGGAGATGGAGGCGAAGGCGCTGGCGCAGTCGCGCTCGCACAGCGAGGCGGAGCGGCGGCGACGGGAGCGCATTAACCAGCACCTCGCGACGCTGCGCGCGCTCCTTCCTAGTTCTAGCAAGGTGAGGGTCTACTGAGTCACCGCCTCCCCCTCCCGCCTCTCTCCACCTCCTTCACCTCGTGACGCTACGCGCGCTGCTTCCTAGTTCTAGCAAGGCGGAGAGGCGATGGGGCGGAGGGGCGGAGGGGCGGAGAGGCGGAGAGGCGGAGAGGCGGAGAGGGGGAGAGGCTGGCGGATTCTCTAGCCTCATCATTCCATCCAACCCATTCCTCCTTTGAGAATTCTCAAAAGTGATTTCAATACAGCCGGAGTGGCCGAGAGGCAGGCGGGCGGATTCCCTAGCCTCATTGTTCAAACCAACCCATTCCTCCGCTCCTTTTCCCCGCTTCCCTACCCATCCCCCGTTCCTTCACCTGTCCAGGCGGACAAGGCGACACTGCTAGGCGAGGTATTAGACGTGCTGCGAGCGCTGCACGCGGAAAGACATGTTTCCCCACCACCTACTATCCCTCCACCCCCCTTCTCCCCGCTTCCCCCTGTCCAGACGGACTAGGCGCCGCTGCTAGGCGAGGTGGTGGACGTGCTGCGAGCGCTGCACGCGGAGAGAGAGAGGGAGAGAGACATGTTTGCATGTCTGTACCTGCTTGGATCTAATACACGGACCGCTTGCACTCCCCAACTCCCCACTTTCCTGTGTTCGTGCCTCTTCCATTCAGACGGACAAAGCAACACTCCTAGGAGAGGTGGTGGACGTGCTGCGGGCGCTGCACGCGGAGAGACGTGAAAGACAGAGTTCTCACAACCGCCCATGCCCTACCCCGCCCCTCCCCTGTTACCCCCCCCCCCCCCCCCCCCCTGCTCCTCCCCCTATCCAGACGGACAAAGCAACCCTTCTAGGAGAGGTGGTGGACGTGCTACGGGCGCTGCACGCGGAGAGGGAGAGGCGTGTGCAGGGCACTTTATCCCCCTTCCCCCTGCTCCACCCGCCTTCCGCCCCCTCTTCTCCCCCCCATTCAGACGGGTTGATGTTGATAGGCGAGGGCTGCACGCGGAGAGGGAGAGGCGTGTGCAGGGCATTTTATCCCCTTCCCCCTGCTCCCTACCCTCATTCCTTACCCCGCTACTCCGCCCCCCCCTCCAGACGGATAAAGCAACATTACTGGGCGAGGTTGTAGACGTGCTGCGGGCGCTGCACGCGGAGAGGCATGCGGAGGGGGAGGGGGAGGCGGAAGGGGAGGCGGGGGCGGGGGGAGGGATGGGGGGGAAGGGGTTCAGTGCGGTACCGAGGGATGTGGATGTTTTAGAGGTGGAGGAGGTGGTGGGGACGGTGGGGGAGGAGGGGGTGAGAGAGGGCGGTGGGGCGGTTAGGGGGGAAGGCGGGGAAGGGGGAGGAGAGGGGGAAGGGGGGGAGGGGGTGGAAGGTCGTGGAGAGGGGAGTGGCGGAGGGCGGAGAAAGGGTGGGGGAAAGAGGGGGGGGAGCTGTGAGGGTGGGGAGGAGGGCGGAGGGAGGAAGAGGAGGAAAGGGGAGTGCAGGGAGGAGGGGGGTGGTGGTGGGGGAGGAGAAGGGGAAGGGGGGGCGGGAGAGGGAGAGGGGGGAGGAGGAGAGGAGCTGATTCGGTTTGTGGTATCGTGTGAAGATCATCCCGACCTGCTGGCATCACTCAAGAAAGCGATTGATGTGAGTGTGATTATGACAAGGGTGGGTGTGACTGTGGCGAGGGTGGGGCTTGTGTGACTATGGTGGTTGTGAAATTGCACATGACTTGGTTTGTGGTATCGTGTGAGGATCATCCTGACCTGCTGGCATTACTCAAGAAAGCGATAAATGTGAGTGTGATTGTGAGGAGGGTGACTGTGTGTGTGAGGAGGGTGACTGAGTGTGTGAGGAGGGTGACTGTGAGTGTGACCGAGTCACCCACCAGATGCTTCTCTCCTGAGAACCTCCTTCCCCTGAAACTGACGAGTCTCCACACTGCACCTTTCTGTCCCCTGCTCCACCTCGTATGTCCGCCCCTACCACACAGGTCCTTCGTCTGCATGTGCGAGCACTGGAAACGGCCTCTTGCAGCAACCGAGTCACCCATCAGATGCTGCTCTCCCAAGACCCTCCTCCCCCTGTAACCAATGATCTCTCATACCCTTCCCTCCCCTGCTCCTCCCCATATGTATGTCCGTCTGCCCATACACAGGTGCTTCGCCTGCACGTGCGAGCACTGGAAACAGCCTCCTGCAGCAACCGAGTCACCCATCAAATGCTCCTCTCTAGGGACCCTCCTCCCGAGTCAGACGAGCCGCTGCATTCCTCCCGCCCCTCCTCTCTCTCCCCACTCCCCTCCTCCTCCCATTCTGCCTCTGCTGGTGGTAGCAGCCCGCTCAATTCGGGGGGGTTGGGAGCGGTGGAGGGGGGTGGGAGCAGCCGCAGCAGGGAGAGGGAGAGGGAGAGAGAGAGGGAGAAATGTGGGGCAGATTGGAGGAAGAAGGGCAGGAAAGAGCCTACGGTGGAAGTTATCCGGGCAGCTTTGCGGGCAGCTGTTGAGAGGGCCCGGGCAGCAGCGGCCGTGACTGGTGCTGTGGCTGGTAGTTTGCCTGGTGTTGGGGAGGGTTTAACTGACGCTAAAATATCTCCTGATTCTACCCCTGCTGCTATTGCTGCCACTGCTGCTGATGTAGCTGCTGCCGCTGGCATTGTTGCTAACGGCAATGCTGCTGTTGCTGTTGCTTCTGCTGCTGCGGCGGCAGCAGTGACACCTGGTGCTGGTGTTGATGCGGTTAGGGGCGGTGATGGTGGTAGGGGCATTGGTGAGGGTGGTGGGATGCATCTGTGGGAAGGAGGAGGAGTGGAAGAAGGGGAAGTAAGGGAAGGTAAGGAAGGTAAGGAAGGGCAGGAAGGGCAGGGAGTGTGTGAGAAGGGGAGACAACAGGATCAGCAAGAGCAGCAGCACCAGATGCAGCAGCAGGAGCAACATCATCACTTGCATCAGCAGCAGCAACAGCAGTTGGGGGAAGAGGAGCAGACAGAGACTCGTGTGAATTCTCTGATTCGGCTGCAGCAGCTGCAGATGCAGCAGCGGTTTCAGCAGCACCAGCAGATGCTCCTGCGGCGGAAGCAGCAGCAGCAGCAGCAGCAACAACAACAACAGCAGCAGCAACAGCAGCAGCAGTCTTTGGACTCTCTTTCAAAATCCTTTTGAGTTTCTGCACACACTTGCACAAGACATCATCCCCCTGCTGATGTCACTGGCTCCCCTCAGTTCGTCAGAGTTACATGGCAGCATTGTTCGTACTTAATTCTTCAAGCAATGGAATGTCTGACCTTGGCAGAAGAAGGATTGACATTATGTGCTTTATGTAGCGATTGTGCAATCCACTCTGGTTTGGTTGGGGTTGGGTCTCCCTGAGTGCAAGGGCTGGGTAAGTGTAAGGAATTTTCTCGGCATTCCTTACGGAGTCCGACTACATCGCGTACAGCAACAGCCGCTGTTCAGCCGTTGCTTCGCCAACTTCGCGCGCACTGTTTTGCCAAACCTCGCACTGCTGGCCCGGCCGCGTCGGCCTACGCTTCAGGACTAGCCCGAGCCTCGCTGCTGTTGGGCTGAGAAAAGCCCTTAGAATCTTTTGCAGGGGTGAACTTTGGGTAGGACTGATGTAATAGCGGAAGCTTAATGAAAAGTATTTGAACCACCTTGCGCTAGTATGTGAGGGCAAAGTTGATTGATTAAAACAAAGAGATACAAGATTATATAAGAGTACAAGGAATATGAAGGGGTACAGTTATAACTGTTTTACTGTTGCTCTTGCGATTCGATACAGTGGCGACTCGAGCAACTGCTCTGTAGCGAGTCAGTTGTGTGTCCTTGCTGTCGCGCTGTACTTGTCAGGTCAAAGGTCGCTGACCTTTGACTTTCGCGTAACCTCCAACAGTTACTTTCAACCTCCGAGGGTTGACTGGCCGGTACTTCGGCATGTTTTGCTTCGTTTGTGCCTTAGTGTTTCGACACGACAGAGGCGCTTAAGATCGATTGTTTCCAACACTCCTCTTCGCTTCTGGAGTGTCGCTGCTGGTGACGTGGCTCTGTCCAGTTCGCAGCATGCAGTACTCGAACTTCTGCTTTCCGAGCTTCTTGGTCAAGTAATCGGCTGCCATCTCGGATGTGGGGAAGTATGACAGTTCGAGTCTCCCCTTCTCGATCTCGTCCTTCACGAAGAAATATCGCAGGGTGATGTGTTTCGTCCTGTTCGCGAAGCCGTTCTTGTTGGCGATGCGAATTGCTGACTGGTTGTCGCAGAACAGGGTGAAGCTGGGTAACTGAGCTAGCTTTGCTTCTTCAAGGAGTTCGCGAAGGTAGAGTCCTTCCTTGGTGGCTGAGCAGAGTGCTATATATTCTGCTTCAGCTAAGGAGAGCACGATTAATTCCTGTTTGCTCGACTGCCAGGAGATAGGTCCGATAGGTTCGAGACGGTAGACGTAGCCGGTGCGGGAGCGCCTGTTGTCGTTGTCGCCAGCGTGATCGGCGTCGACGTAGCCGATTAACTTAGGCGGTGTAGTTGCGTTCTTGTAGTAAGTTAGGCCGATCGTCGGGGTGCTGACGAGGTAGTGAAGAGCGCGGTCGAGCTCCGCCAGATGTTCCGCTTCAGGCTTCTTGAGGTAGGTGGCGAGCTGACTTGCAGAGTACGATAGGTCCGGGCGGCAGGTGACAGCTGCGAAAAGGAGGCAACCCAGTTTCCTCTGGTAGTCACGTATGCCGGCGGGCTTAAGTAGAGCGGAGCTTCCCTTGCTGTTTCCTGTCGTGTAGCGGTACGGTGTGGAAATGGCGGTCGGTGTGAGTGCAAAGCGCTTGGCGATGGTGTCGGCGTATTTCGCGGCACTGAGGTAGATCGCGTCTTCCTCTTCTCGGATGTTGAGACCGAGGTACTGTGTGACGGTAGATGAGACCATGAGCGTGAGGTCCTTCTGCAGCTCCCCTTTGAACCAGGTTGTGATGCCGTCGGTCGAGCCGATGTAGAGTAGATCGTCTACATAGACGATTAACAGGATGTAGTCGGTGCCCTTCGTGAGCCGGTACATGCCCTGATCGTGCGGTAGTTGTTTGAAGCCGATGCGAATGAGGCGAGCGTGCAGGTATTGTTGCCATAGCCGCGGAGCTTGCTTGATGTCGTAGAGCGACTTCAGCAGCTGACAGACTTGATTGGGCTCACCGTTGGAGCCGTGCGGTAATTCGACGAAGAGTTCTGCGTCAACAGGTGCGTAGTGTCAGAACATTATAGCTTATGCTGTTGTGTAGGCTATAGTGGGGTATCCCATAGGGGGTACAACCCATTTAGGGTTTCCTATATGTACCCACTTCATTCATAGTTGATGCATTCTCGTTCTCATTCTCACATGGAATCAGAGCAGGTCCCCTCCTAGGGACTGTTCCTTGGGCCCACCGAAGCGCGCCTAGAGTCGCGCCTACCTTTTTTTTTTTTTAGCGGCCCGTCGAGTCGCACCTAGCGGCCCGTCGCGCCGCCCTTACGGTCGCGTCGAGCCGCCCTAGCGGCTGCGGCGCGCCGCCTTTTTCCCGGCCCGTCGCCGCCCTTACCCGCGGCTTTGCGCCGCCCTCACCGGCGGCTTCGCGCCGCCCCTACCTGCGGCCTCGCGTCGCCCAGGCCCGTCGCCGCCCTTCCCGCGGCTTCGCGCCGCCTCTACCTACGGCTTCGAGCCGCCCCGGCCCGTCGCCGCCCTTACCTGCGGCTTCGCGCCGCCCTTGCACCGGCTCGTCGCCGCCCTTACCTACGGCCCGTCGCCGCCCTACCTACGGCCCGTCGCCGCCCTTACCTACGGCCCGTCGCCGCCCTTACCTACGGCCCGTCGCCGCCCTTACCTACGGCCCTCCGTCGACCTACCTGCGGCCCTACCCGCCGCCCTACCTGCGGCCACCCGCTGACCTACCTGTGGCGCACCCGCCGCCCTACCTGCGGCCACCCGCCAACCTACCTGTGGCGCACCCGCCGCCCTACCTGCGGCCACCCGCCGACCTACCTGCGGCGCACCCGCCGCCCTAACTGCGGCTCACCCGCCGCCATACCTACACGAGAGCGCCGCCGCGCCGCCCTGCACGAGAGCCGCCCTGCCGCCGAGCCGCCAGGAAGCCGAGCCGCCCTGCCGCCGAGCCGCCCGGAAGCCAAGCCGCCCAGCCGCCGAGCCGCCCTGCCGCCGAGCCGCCCGGAAGCCGAGCCGCCCTACCGCCGAGCCGCCCTGCCGCCGAGCCGCTCTGCCACCAAGCCGCCCAGCAGCTGGACCGTCAGAGCTGCCCTGTCTGGTGAGCACAGTGCCTTCTCCCCCTGCACGGCCCTCCCTCCCCTACTGTTTACACTGCTCGTCATCTGTAGTCATGGCTACCCCTAGTGTCCTCACGTTTGACGCTGAGGGACGAGCCGTAGACTTTGAGGTCTGGGTCGACGACCTGCAGCTGTTCCTACAGTGCGATAGGGCAGACGGCCTCTCTCTCTTTGACCTTACCTCTGGCGCTTCCCCTGCCCCTGCTGCTAATGCTGACGCCACTGTTCGCTCCCAGTGGGCCACGTGCGACGCTGCTGCACGTCTTGCTGTGCGTCGCCACCTCCCTACCTCCGAGCGTGCGCACTTTAGCCAGTACAAGAGTGCTCAGACCTTGTACGACGCTGTAGTCGCGCGCTACTCCTCCCCTGCCACTGTTGCACTGAGCCGTCTCATGCTGCCGTACCTCTTCCCTGACCTTGCTGCTTTTCCCACCGTAGCTGATCTCATCACGCACCTCCGCACTAGTGACACTTGCTACCGCGCTGCACTCCCTGCTGACTTCTGCGCCGCGAACCCCCCCCCCATGTACATCACTCTGTACTTCCTAGTCACTCGCCTCCCTGACTCCCTTCGCGTAGTCAGGGACCACATTCTCTGAGTCTGTCCCACCACGCTCACCGTAGACCTCCTCGAAAAGGCCCTCCTAGCGATAGAGAAGAGCATCGTCGCTGTAGGAGCCTCTCGAGGTGACCCGCGCACCCCCATCTTTGAGGGGTGTTCTCCCTCCCCCCTGCTGCCCTCTGCTGCCTCTGCTGCTGCGGCCGACCTCCTTGGTCTTGAGTCGGTCGGCGCGGCGTCTGCC